ATATTGTACAGTGGCATTAACTACCGTAATGCACACCTCTGCCTACCCCTTCGGGGATAAAAGGCGTGATGTTATGTTAATGTTTGTATTTATTTACGGCCTTTTTGCGCCGTCTTCACTGTTCACGGTGTGCAAATAAACAATGTTTCTTTCTTTCTTTTTTCTTTCTATTTTTTGTGGATATAAGTAAATGGGTGTTATTTTATGTTTTCAGTATTGTATTGTATTTTTCATATCCTCGTGATTATTTATTTGAAACTTAATGCATGCACAATGCACATAACAAACTTAATGCTATAAGCGTTATCTACCACTCTATCTTGGGAAGATGCAGAGAAGACTATTAGTAGATCATTCAGATCCCGGTTTTGTTTCCTGGGTCTGACGAGTAAATAGTGCAGAAAGCATAACTGTCGTATCCCACTTATCTCAGTAAGAAACATATTGATCATTTACCTAATGACAACCTAAATATTCCAGGATGAAATCCGTGACAAACTGACTCCTATCGAAGTGAAGATGTCGTACGACCTGGTGAACCAACCCTCTGGTAACATCGTGCCTCCAGTCCTGGACCAGACCCACAGCATCATGCACACAGACTCCCTCAACATCCAGAAGAACTGCGGCGCTGATAACATTTGCATTCCTGATCTGAAGATGGCTGCTACCACGTAAGTACTTGGACAAATGTTTAGTTGATAAAATTTGCCACAGACCTATTTCCAGTGTATCATCATCATCATTATCAACAGCCTATAAAGTGCCCACTGCTGAGCAAAGCTTCTTCTCACACGGAGAAGGTTTGAGCATTAATCACCACGCTTGCTCAATGCGGGTTGGCGATTTCAAACTTATAATTAGAATTTATAAGCCAATCCTCACGATGTTTGCCTTCACCGATTGTCAGTGGTGTCTAAATAATCTTAGAAAGTGCATATAACTCGGAAAAAGTCACATTGGTACTTGCCGTTGGTAGATTGCAAAACCGTACCCTCATGTCACCATGAACCTCCGAGCCACCAATACTCACATTACCAGTGTCTAAAGATTGCCCTTGAATAATCGATCTAAAGTCTAAATGTATTCATGTTTATCTTCTTTGAATGCGATATTCCTTATTAGTAGGTACAAATATCCAAGACCAATGGAAGGTAGATCTAAATTACACCTGTACTGCTAGGGTGATTTTTATGTTAAAAAATCATCATCATAATCTTCCACAGCCCTACAATCAACTACGTCCTAGGGTCTGGTGAGAACCTCCACATTGACGTCAAAGTGGAGAACTCTGGTGAAGATGCATTTGAAGCTGCCTACTACCTGATGATTCCTTCAGGAGTGACATACGCCAAGATGGAACGTCTGGACAAGGATACGGATACTCTGATATACTGCTCCATCACCAACAGGTTCCCTGATGGTAACACCACATTGAAATGTGACCTTGGAAACCCCATGGCTAGTGGACAAAAGGTAAGCGGATTTTCGAAGCATATTTCGTATTTTAAAAAAAATATTAAAGTTTATTTTTAAGTTTTCGCTTGATTTTTATATTGGATGACAAAAATTGTCTTGTTTCGAATCGGATATCGGATTTATTTTCATTGGAATCCAGTTTCAAACCTCAATAGACATTGGATACTTTGGGTACTTTAGTAAGGTCATAAAATGTTTACTTTGAATATAGTATCGTTACTAACACTTAGTAAAAGTACTTAATCATTAACTATTACACACTGAAAAAGATATAGAAATATGTGTATCTATTAAATAATAGAAGACATCGTATGTAACCTATCATATATTTCGTTCTAGGTAAACTTCCGCCTGATCTTGGAAGTGGACGCTCGCGTGACGACGCTGAGCTTTGACATGGAAGCGAACTCCACCAACGTGGAGCAGGACACCATGTACGACAACTCCATGCACATGAACATCGGCGTCGTCGTCCGGGCACACCTCTCTATCATTGGGTGAGTCGTACAAACATTTATTGTTGTACCAACGTATGTAGGTAGAGAGAGAGTTCTTAAAATTTTGAGGCTTAATATTTTGGACCAAATTTTCTCTAGTTATGTCGTTGTAGAAGAATTCTAGGCTCTGTAATATTTTTGAGAATTTTAGATGTTATCGGGATTGTAACAAGACTAACAAAAACTTCGTCACATTGCAGAACTTCGGACGCACCTGAACTACACTACAACGCTTCGCAGTACGAAACACAAAACATCAAGGACGACACTAAACTTGGACCTCAATTAATCCACAAATACAACTTGAAGAACGAGGGACCATTCACTGTTGAAGAAGCTGAGATATATTTCATGTGGCCTTACCAGACCCTTGAAGGTAAGGTGTAATATTCTACCACAGTGGACCACTTCCTAAGTGGACCTACAATACCAACGGGACTAAAACAACTTCCAGAATAATTTAGTGAATAGGCTAAAAAGTAGTACTTAGCACTTTGTGGACTATTCAATAAATCAACAAAATTGTTATTCATGATCCCTTATTTGCTGTTTTATACTCCTTGTTTGTTTTTCTGTAGTGTGCTAATTGATTGATGATTAGTTTAAAAGAATTTAAGAAATCTTAATCTTATATCATTCATCTCCAGAAAGAAATCATTATATACCAATTTTCTTAATTCCAGGCGAAAATCTGATGTACATGTTGGTGCAACCTCAATATCTAGGAGATGTCAAGTGCGACATAGCGCGACACATTAACGATGCCAACTTGTTTGTGGAGAGACCTTACGAATTCTTGCTGTCGAAGGAGAGAGAAGGTATGTTTATTTGTACATAATATTTGAACCGTCAGACTTAGTGTCAAAAACACTCATATTTTTAACCACATATAATTAATAAGTCATAGTTTCTTATTTTTATAGAAGTAAGAATAGGGAAATTTTCTTTGTCTCTAGAAGAAAATTTTCTTTTCTTATTCGTCTCGTCTTAAAATCAATGTGTTTTGTTTTCAGCTATGATGAGTAGCGAATTCTACACCGCGTCGCAAACTTCAGGAGGTGGTGGATATTATGGACAAGGTACAAAAATAATCACTTTTTATATATATATAAAAAAAACTTTTACATAAATAGAATAAATAATTGATTGTAACGTAATTTTTCAGTGTACTGGGATGATCTTTCCAATGGCGTCCAATACAACTACCAAAGTAATACTGGTAGTGTCAACTTAGGAGGCTCTGGTTATGGTACTGGACAGTCCAGTCATTCCAGTGGAAGCTCGAGCTCCAGCTCTACCCATTTCAGTAGCAGCACCAGCAGCCAAAGTGGAGGGCAGTTTGTTAGCGGTCAGGCTGGCAGTGGACAATTTAGTGGTAGTCAGAGTGGAAGTGGGCAATTCTCTGGCACCCAGAGCGGCAATGGGCAATTCGTTGGCGGCCATAGTGGAAATGGACAATTTGTTACCAGCCAAACTGTAAGCGGAAACCACGGTGCCAATGGACAATTTAGCGGTAACCAAGGATCCTTTGCAAACCAAGGTGGCCATTTCGGTGGTCAAAATCATGGCCAGCAAGGCACTTTCACATACAACCAGACCTGGAGCTCTTTTGAGGACAGTGAAGACCTAACAGCTGAACAAAAAGAAGAGATCAGGAAGAAACTAGCAGCTGCTCTCGCTTCCGGAGCAGGTCAAGCTAGCTGGAGCTCTCAAAATGGGGCCTTTGGTGGTCTTGGACAAGGCTCCATCGTGAAAGTCAAGAACAAGACGATAATATATGATGCTAACCACAACATTATTTCGGAAATTGAGACAAGTACTGAATTTGCAAACCTTGGACACGAAGGAGAAGCTGGTAGCTCTTTCAATGTGTAAGTATTGTTCTTCAATACAAATTAATTCTACAGGTATACGTAATTACATATACCTGTAAATTTTCAATTGAAAATTTATAATAGTTTTAGCACTAAATACAATATTTATGATTATTCTATTTATTTCAGATACGCTAACCAGGGTGGTGTTAACCAAGCAGCTTCACAAGGGCATGCTCAAGGTTCTTGGCAGACAAGTTCTCAAGGGTCAGGCACTTACTCGCAAGGATCCGGCTATAACCAAGGATCAGGCTATAGCCAGGGCGCTGGAGGGTACAATCAAGGATCTGCAACATACAACCGAGGGTCTGGCACGTACAACCAAGGGTCTGGCACCTACAGTCAAGGATCAGGATCTTATGGTTCTGCAGGATCAAGAGGCTTCTCACAAGATTCAAATCAAGGTCAAGGATTTGTCCATGGATCATGGGCAACCACAGAAACTGTCAATCCTGACATCGCTAATGCTGGTTCAGCTACCTTCAGAGGATCCTCAAGCGTTACTGTTGTAGGAGATGAAGAAGAAGACAAACTTGAAGGGTTCGGAGTTAATGCTGCGTATAATCCTAATAACGAGTTTAAGTATGGTATTGCTGACGTCAGTGGCAGTTCTGGTGGAAGCCAGAGAAGTTCAGCTGGTGCTGCACAAGGTGGAAGCTACCATGCTGGAGGTGGCAGTTACCAGGCTGGAGGTGGCAGCTTCCAGGCTGGAGGTGGAGGCTTTCAATCTGGAGGTGGCACCTACCAATCTGGCGGTGGAAGCTACCAGAGTGGTGGTGGTACTTACCAAAGTGGAGGCGGAACTTATCGCAGCGGTGGCAGTGGATATTCTTACTCTTCATCATCGTCTTCAGGTCAGTTACATTACAATATTTAAAAAATACACCACACACGTAACATAATATAGATAGTAAAAAGTGGGTGTTACATTGCACAGTGGCATTAAATACCGTAATATGGATATTGACCTCTGAGGTCAGAGGTGGACCTCTGCCTACATAAAAAGTCGTGACTGCACAAATAAAATTAATTATTTAATTCAATGTTTGCTTCCATTTTAGGTGGGCATACGTCATACAGCAGTCATTCTGGTAATGGCTTCAGCGCTTCTGAACGTCGTGAGAATACCAGGAGACGGCGTCAGGATCAAGTGAGTTATAGTTATTAAACATTAAAGATTATTTTTTAAGATTTCACTTATTTCAAGCATATTCAAGCAATCCAGTGGATGCCGTTGTAATGTGTAACTCCCAGCAGTTCTAAACAAAAATTCTTGTGTCTATAATCATCATCACACACATATTCTCATTACAGGTGGATCCACAGCTGAAGCAAATTCTGGAAAAATGTGAGGAAAAGTACAAGTGCGAGGTACTGAGATGTACTACTGGTCGCATGATGAAGGGGCAGGAGGCTTGGTTTGCGTTCAGGTCGAGGATCAACGCATCCGTGCTTAGTGAGGTAAAGATCCATCATATGAACCAGCTCGAACTTAAGGATTTTGGCAACCGTCTTTTACTTTCAGACTAACGTAAATTATAGTAAATTGAAATACACGGTCTGCTCACAGCAAGTATTGGAGAAAAGTCTACTAGTTTTGTAGGAAAAGTGTAGTAGATTGTGCGTCACGTTGATTTTAAGACGGCATTTCATTATGAAAATTAAGTGATAAGGCTCACCTTCGCCTGCCGTGTCCTTATCCTAGTTGTCTTTAGTACTATCTTGGGGATTAACGATTACGAACCTATTATTTATTCTACTATCTTATCTTTCTAGATTTCCAAGGACCGCGCAGTGATCCTGTCGACATTAGCTGCAGCGCGCGTTTCTCGGCTGCCCATGGTGGGGCGGCCGACAGACCGAACCTGGCACACGGCAGAAGCCCAGACCCTCATCACACCACGACTCGAGGCTCTGGACAGCGGCACCATCCCACTTTGGGTCGTTATACTCGCCGCCATCATCGGTGCACTCCTACTTCTACTGCTCATCTTCGCACTCTACAAAGTGAGTAAACGTGACCAAATATTCATGAGAATAAAAGAGATCATAACAGAATAGAGTATAAGAGAAAAGACATGAAGGGGTCGAAGTACAGAGTAATCGAACAAAAGACATCAGAGACAAATAAATCTTTTGTTCTTTTCCCTATTCTGTACCTTACTCTTCTCTAATCTCTCCGTTCTTTTCCCCTTCACTCTCCTCCTCTCTTCTCTCACACCTATCCTCTACCTCTCTTCTCCTACCCCTCTCTTCCCTGAAGAGAGGATAGGTCCTCTCTTCTCTCTTACTACCCCCACTCTCACTCTTCTCCCTCTCTCACGTTTTGTTTTAAATGTCGAAAATCCAAATAAACTGTCTCTTTATGACCCCCAATACTCAATATTTGGTAGGCTTTACATTTTAAACATTTCTTCTATTTCCAGTGCGGATTCTTCAAAAGGAACCGTCCCTCGGACCACGCTGAGCGACAGCCCCTGAACGGGCGTGACGAACATCTCTGATATCCGACCACTGATCTGGGCGTCACCAGCGATACAGCTGGGACGTCTGAAGCGGGCGCCACGTCCGACTCGCCCGACGACAGCTCGTCGACTGACGCTGCTAGTGACGTCACGAGTCGCGACTCCACCAGCTTCGATAGGTACTGACATCACAAAGTCAATATTAATAAATTTTAAAAGTGTTAGTTTCACTTTGATGAGAGTCATCGTTTTTGGCATTTGTAGTATATTTATGAAGAAGAATCTTCATGCACCACTCCCCACTAGCACCCCTAGTGTCCAAATTCAAATGCGATAACCCTCATTAAAAAATTTACATTGGTAGAAATAAGTGCGAACAAAATGTCCTTGAAAATAGCACGGAGCTGTATTTTTTGTATTTATTTTTTGACGTGAATATGAAAATTACATTTCGTTCCAAACAGTAGTAGGTCCGATGTGATTGTAAAATAGTTTAGACATATTATTTTTATGATACAATAGTTTTACCTCATGACAAAACGAATTTTCCCAAGCTTTTCATGTCTTTAGTACAAAGAAAATGAAAGGTTCAACAAAACAATATTTTCCTCTATTCTAATATAATAAAACCTAGTCACGAATAAAAAAATTTTCGGACGCCATACTAGAAAATAAAAAGAGAAAAAAATGTAAACAAAGGTTAGGTTATTTTAAATAAATTAAAGATCATTTAAAATGAAAAGTTTTAAATATTACTTAATTTATTTAAAACGAATTATGTTTTTAAACATAAAATGAATGAAAGATTAAATCTTATCGTGTGATAATTATAAATGTAAAAATGTGTGTATGTATGTGAGTTGTTGGAAAATGTGATCTAAGTTAATAACTAGGTTTACTAAAAGTGGTAGATAACATAATATATTGGAGGTGTATCGAATATATGTCATTTAAATTAAAATATTTAGTATGTCGTAGTAAAAACGTAGACGCGTGTGATTTCTTAATTTATAAATACATTTGATAATTACCCTATTCGATACACCTTCGAAATATCGTCGAATCCATAGCTAATGGTCTATTATATACTAATAAGGTTGCTTTGTAATAATTAAAGGTTTATCAACGATTTTGGGAGGCATTATCTCTATTAATGTTTGTAATAGGCCTCTTTTCCCAGAGATTTCTCATTGTGCTACACTGGGTAAGAGGTAATCTCAATTATGGCAATAAAAATGTTGTAATATAAGTATCAAATAGATGAAAACGGTAAAATAATGTCGCTTTTACAATTATTTAAGATTTGATAGGTGCATATTTTTCGAACATGTATCTCACACTGTGTGCCTTATCACAATCACGCATTAGTTTATGTAAAAAAATATATAAATTCCTAAATAAAATGTATTAAGTGCCTTCTGAAACTGCCAGTTACTAATTAAATATTAATGTAAATATTTTCTAGATAATATCATCATTATTTTTTTTGTTTACGAAAAAGTCATTTTTTCACAGAACGATATATTTGTTTTTGGTAAAAGTACCTATATTATGTGGAGTGTGTGACCTAGTAATTTTGGCAAGAAATTTATATTTGATTAGTTCGAAATGTACTTAATATCTGTAAGAAAATATTTTTTGAAAATAAATGTAGATAGAAGTTGTAACTTTATATATATCACGTCTGTAAAGTTAGGCACAAGTAAATAGTAGGTACACACAATGCAATTTGGAGCTAACGGTTATAAATATAATAAATTTTACAAAAACACTGAACTATTATAACTTCTTGCGGTAAATATAAAGGAATCAAATCTTAAGTATTCAGTAGCAGAAGTCGCTTTATAAATAGACAATTTAAAAAATCCTAATCCTAAGCCACTGGACTTCGATACGATTATGTATTTTGTTTTATTTGATTTCTGTGAAAAAATGCCAAGTCCACTAATAAATCGTAAGCATTGTTACATTTTTTTATAATTATTATTAATTATTTATTTTACATTTTAACTATTAAGCATATAGCTTCTTCTACTTATAGTTAAATAATTAACAAAAAAATTGTTTAGTTGCCATAAAAATGTGTAATAGTTTATAATATTATTATTTTGGTTGTTTTATTTCTATTTCTCGGTAAAAATTTCATTGCATTTACCAAAAAAATGAACTTGTAATAAAAAATTGTTTTAATTTTAAATTTTGAATGTTTTATTTTGTAACGTTTGCAAAGGTTTCATTGAACCCGAGCTCTCAGCTCCAGCAAGGACCTAGATATTGATGAGCTTTGTTTTCGAAAATTATTTGTGCAGAATAGCCTTAAATTTTGTGCTCTGATTGGCAATGGACTCGTCATTATTGCGGGGTACTTAGATACAAATACACCTAACTGGTACTGGTATAACCTACATCTGCCTAAACGTTGTAGATTAAAAAATATATAAGCCGGTAAAACTTTCGTGAAACAAACTAAATTAATTACATATTATTATGTTTTTTGGCATACTCACGTAACTGTTTGACGAGGGAACTCGACTAGTTTTAAGCCATGCTAGACTGCTAGAGCCTCAGTAGCAGCGCGACAGTCGCCGCGTCACGTGTCGCGAAATGCTGCTCAAAAATATGAATATGCGAAACAAGTGAATTTATTTCTGCAAATAGGCTGCATGACAGCACTTTCACATACCAATTTATCAAGCGAACGATGAGGCAGACACCTTTATCATCATCTTTCTTTCATCTATCTATCATGTAACTTTAAGTTAGACATTTTTTTAAGGGGGAAATAATCGAATGACTGCTCCCGCCTGGGTGAGGCGGGAGGGAGTGTCAGACTCTTACTGACTAAAAACCACCCCGTTCCTTCTCCTGCACGTCGAGCCGGAGCCCCGGCAACAGGAACACTATAGATAAGCCTAGCAAACTATTTAGATACCTATTAATCGCATAGTTTTACAAAAAGAGGTAAAACAAACATTTATAAATGATTGTATTTGGTATCGGACGTAACCGCCCTCTGGCGGTGCAATGAAATAAACTGGCGAAGCTCGCGCTCGCAGATTAAATTAGTTTGTAGAGATAGCTAAAAAACTTTAATAAATGAATAATTATTTAATGACGATGATCTCATCTTTTTAATTTTTATATATCCTTGTTTATTTAATTATCATTTTTATTTGCGTTATTTTTTTTATGTTCCATGTAAATGTTCGCCGTAGTTCTTTACTTAGACTATTTGTGAGATTGACGCTAATTTTCATAACATTACTGTATTTATAAATTATAGGCGAGCAAATTGCCATTGAATTTAAAATCTTGTTCCTAATCCGGTGTTACATTGCTTTTTTTTTATTTTTATTTTTTTTTAAGTGGGGAAAATCATCGAATGACTGCTCCCGCCTGGGTGAGGCGGGAGGGAGTGTCAGACTCTTACTGACTAATAACCACCCCGTTCCTTCTCCTGCACGTCGAGTCGGAGCCCCGGTTACCCGTTAGGTTCTCCGCGACACCCGTTAGGTGTTACATTGCTTAAACTTTAGTCATGCCTTGAAAAAGCTAAACCTTTCATTATACCTACTACCGCGTGCTTTCACCCGCTCAGCTCGGCTCCTATTGATCGTAGCGTGATGGTTTATGGCCTATAGCTTTCCTCGATGAATGCACTATCCAACACAAAAATAAATATTCAAATCGGTCCGGTCATTCCGGAGATTAGCGCGTTTAAACAAACAAACAAATCTCGTTAGCATAACGCATAACATCACACCTTTTATCCTTTAGCTAGTAGGCAGGGGTAAGTACACATTACATTACCCGTATACATTGGTACAATGTAACATCCACTTTTCAATATTTACGTTATGAGTCCCATGTAATAGGGGGTGAGCCTATTGCCATATACCGGGCACAATTCCAGACTCCGTGCTACTACTGAGATTTTTTTTAAAAACCCTAATAACCCTTTAGCTTTATATGATAAGTATAAGGTTAAATTACTTTGAGCCGGACAGAACTTAGTAGACTTGTCTTATACTACTAAATACTTGCCTCCTATTCCATAAAAAAAAATTAACAACAAAACAAATATTTGTCTGCGAACGGTACTTATTGTGGTCCGTAAATCTTAGATAGTAATGTTTCTCAGCCGTCTGTCTGTCTGATCGAGCGAGACGAGGCGAGGCAAGAGGCGCGACTGCGAGACGGAACGAAATAAAGACGCTCAGACCAAATACAAACACTGGATTTTAGGATTCAACCTCATCTGCCTAGACTAGACAAAAATGAATTTGTCTGACCTAAAACTACAAGTTTATTTCACAGTCAAAATCAAAGCATTAATTAGGCTCTTTTTAAATGTTTCAAATTCAATTGCCCGTCCGTCCGTCTGTCAATGAAGCTAGGCGCTCATTCCAAATTGTAGTTTTGAATGGAGAAGAACGAAGAAGAAACTCCATCGTCACTCTTTCGCGGGCCTGCGGACGGCAATCATGGGTGGCGCTCCGTCCGACCAGAAACAGACCCGAACGTACGGCGCGTCGCGTTCCGCGCGCGCCTCAAAGAGCCATCAGACCACCACAGATGGGGACCAACAGGGCTGATGCCGATTCGAAGTCGCGTTGAACCGAACGGGTTACCGGGGCTCCGGTTCGACGTGCAGGAGAAGGAACGGGGTGGTTTTTAGTCAGTAAGAGTCTGACACTCCCTCCCGCCTCACCCAGGCGGGAGCGGACATTCGATGATTTTCCCCCAGTAATAAAAAAATCGTCACTCTTTAAAAAACAATTTTGACAGTCTCATTGATACATTATCTGTGAACATGTTGTTAACATGTAGTTTTACTATTTAATCTAGTTATCTGCTAGCGGTGAAATTATGATTAACCGACTTTAAAAAAAGAGGGGCTTGAACTCGAGCTTTTTTAAACGTAAAATAAAATAAAATGAAAATAAAAAATAAAATAAAAAGCCTTTTATTTCCTTCACAAAATGTACACTTACAATACCAATTGTTTTTTTTTTTTCTTATTTCGTAACAAAAGTTTTAATTACTTTTACAAATAAAAGTTAAATATGTTTAGGTACTTTTAGTTACTAAACGTTAACTTCCTTTCCTCTCTTTGGTCGTGGTTACAGACGCCCCCGGTTCTCATGCTTGAGGAATCGAGGGTGCCAGTTCGAAACCTTCCAACGGCAAATAATTGTTAATGTTCTGATCGGTCATTAACTGTTTTATGTTGTTCCTCTGTTCTGTATTACGCTGTGTTTCTGTTTTATATACATACCATGTTTTTTAACGTTGCCCCACACTAGGATTTTCTCCTGTGTCGTGGGTGCGTTTACAAACATACAAGATCACATACACAATGACACCCAGACCCGGAACAACAATCTGTTGATTACACAAAGAGTTCTTCCGTGTGGGAATCGAAACCGCGACACGTTGCGCGGCTGCCAGTTGTGCCCTGCCACCGCGCCAACCGCTAACCTAACCTATTTAATTTTATAATATTACTAGCGACCCGCCCCGGCTTCGCACGGGTGCAATATGCATGTATTATACATACAAACCTTCCTTAAGAATCACTCTATCTATTAAAAAAAACCGCATCAAAATCCGTCGCTTAGTTTTAAAGATCTAAGCATACATACGGACATACAGCGAAAGCGACTTTGT